CATCCTCCTCCTCCTCCTCCTCCTCCTCCTCCTCCTCCTCCTCCTCCTCCTCCGCCTTCTCTTCTATGTGGTTCTGCGGGTGCATCGGGTGGGCGCCCGATCGCGACAGCAGAGGATGGACTGGCCTCTCAAGGCACCAGCATCGGGATGCAGTGCGACGGCCCACGAGATCACAATACAGGAGGGGCCCTTCCACAAGAAACCTTCCAAAAGAAACCCAACCATGAGACCCCAGGACGTCCATCGATTTCTGGTGTGGGGGCGTCACGCTTTCCATCGCAAAACCATCGAAACCCAAGCAACCCAGGGCACCCTGGAGGCCAGCAGGGTGCTTCTTGGCATGGGTTTCCACTGTGCTCGTGACCGGGCCTCCTCATAAACATCCTGAGCCTTCTCAGGCCCCTGACTGGCATTTTGGTTGCCCGTCTCGAGGCCCTCTGCGGCCCATCATGGCGCCTCTTGGGCCGTTCTCGGATCGTCTTGGGGCAAATTCGGGCAGCACTCAAACTATTTCTGAACTCCTGCTCTGGAGAAGTGGCATGGATCCCAGGAGCCAGCCTCTCTGTCACTGATCCGTCGGCACTGACTGACGATCAGACGATAGTCGAATCATCGATCAGCCGCCAGACATACCTGGGTCCAAGTGGCGATGGAATGGAGCAAGGTGAAGCGCAGGAAGGAACACAAAACACACCTGGGCCGTACTTGACCGCTTTCGGCATGCCTGCATGCCTTTGTTAGGGCTATATCCGCTCCTCTGGCAAGAACCAGAACTGGCTGGTATGTAGGCACATAGCGTCTTGAATCAATCCAGAAACTGCGCGGAATTTCGATTGGGGCACAACCCAGACAATACACGTCGGTCGGAAGAAGTAGGTAAAACCACGAAGTAGGAAGGCGGACAGGGTGGATTGGGTCCAGGCCCTCCCAGAGAATTACCCTGGCGACGTACCCAACCCCTGCGCAATGCGGGGCATGAGTAGCTTGGGAGACGCTATACGGAGGTGATGACGTGACATGGGCGCATATACTTCTGCGAGCGGCATTCGTGAGGCTCGCAGCCTCCCAAGGATTGCGATGTCCCGCTCAGATCTGCGCGGTGCCTCGCTCCGCTGGACCCACCAGCAGCCCTCGAAAGTGGCGACCGTTTCGCAGATCGCAGCCCCCCAAGGACGGCGAGGTCCCGCTCAGGCCCGCGCGGTGCCTCACTCCGCAGGACCCACCAGCAGCCCTCGAAAGCGGCGACAGCTTCGACCCACCAGCAACCCTCGAAAGTGGCGACCGTTTCGCAGATCGCAACCCCCCCAGGGACGGCGAGGCCCCGCTCAGATCCGCGCGGTGCCTCACACCGCAGGACCCACCAGCAGCCATCGAAAGCGGCGACCGTTTCGCAGATCGCACCCTCCCCAGATACGGCAAGGTCCCGCTCAGGCCCGCGCGGTGCCTCACCCCGCAGGACCCGCCAGCAGCCCTCGAAAGTGGCGACAGTTTCGCAAATCGCAGCCCCCCAGGGACGGCGAGGTCCCGCTCAGGCCCGCGCGGTGTCTCACTCCGCAGGACCCACCAGCAGCCCTCGAAAGTGGCGCCAGTTTCGCAGATCGCAGCCCCCCAGGGACGGCGAGGTCCCGCTCAGGCCCGCGCGGTGCCTCACGTCCGCAGGACCCACCAGCAGCCCTCGAAAGTGGCGCCAACGACGCAGATCGTCACCCCCCAAGGGACGGCGAGGTCCCGCTCAGGTCCGCAATGTGCCTCACTCCGCAGGACCCACCAGCAGCCCTCGAAGTGGCGACAACTTCGCAGATCGCAGCCCCCCAGGGACGGCGAGGTCCCGCTCAGATCCGCGCGGTGCCTCACTCCGCAGGACCCACCAGCAGCCCTCGAAAGTGGCGACAAGTTCGGAGATCGCAGCCCCCCGGGGACGGCGAGGTCCCGCTCGGGTCCGCGCGGAGACTCACTCCGCAGGACCCACCAGCAGCTATCGAAAATGGCGACAAGTTCGCAGATCGCAGCCCCCCAGGGACGGCGAGGTCCCGCTCAGGCCCGCGCGGTGCCTCACTCCGCAGGACCCACCAGCAGCCCTCGAAAGTGGTCGGACAAATTGTCGCAGATCGCAGCCCCCCGGGACGGCGAAGTCGCCGCTCCCGCTCAGGTCCGCGCGGTGCCTCACTCCGCAGGACCCACCAGCAGCCTTCGAAAGTGGCGCCAATGACGCAGATCGCAGCCCCCCGGGGACGGCGAGGTCCCGCTCGGGTCCGCGCGGAGACTCGCTCCGCAGGACCCACCAGCAGCTATCGAAAGTGGCGACAAATTCGCAGATCGCAGCCCCCCAGGGACGGCGAGGTCCCGCTCGGGTCCGCGCGGAGCCTCACTCCGCAGGACCCACCAGCAGCCCTCGAAAGTGGCGACAATTTCGCAGATCGCAGCCCCCCCAGGGACGGCGAGGTCCCGCTCAGGTCCGCGCGGCGCCTCACTCCGCAGGACCCACCAGCAGCCCTCGATAAAGGCGCAAGTTTCGCAGATCGCACCCCCCCTCAGGGACGGCGAGGTCCCGCTCAGGCCCGCGCGGTGCCTCACTCCGCAGGACCCACCAGCAGCCCTCGAAAGTGGCGACAGTTTCGCAGATCGCAGCCCCCCAGGGACGGCGAGGTCCCGCTCAGGCCCGCGCAGTGCCTCACTCCGCAGGACCCACCAGCAGCCTTCGAAAATGGCGACCACTTCGCAGATCGCAGCCCCCCAGGGACGGCGAGGTCCCGCTCAGATCCGCGCGGTGCCTCACTCCGCAGGACCCACCAGCAGCCCTCGAAAGTGGCGACAATTTCGCAGATCGCAGCCCCCCAGGGACGGCGAGGTCCCGCTCAGATCCGCGCGGTGCCTCACTCCGCAGGACCCACCAGCAGCCCTCGAAAGTGGCAACAGTTTCGCAGATCGCAGCCCCCCAAGGACGGCGAGGTCCTGCCCAAGACCGCGCGGTGCCTCACCCCGCAGGACCCACCAGCAGCCCTCGAAAGTGGCGCCAATTTCGCAGATCGCAGCCCCCCAGGGACGGCGAGGTCCCGCTCGGGTCCGCGCGGTGCCTCACTCCGCAGGACCCACCAGCAGCCCTCGAAAGTGGCGACAAATTCGCAGATCGCACCCCCCCAGGGACGGCGAGGTCCCGCTCAGGTCCGCGCGGTGCCTCACTCCGCAGGACCCACCAGCAGCCCTCGAAAGTGGCGACCGCTTCGCAGATCGCAGCCCCCCAGGGACGGCGAGGTCCCGCTCAGGTCCGCGCGGTGCCTCACTCCGCAGGACCCACCAGCAGCCCTCGAAAGTGGCGGCAGTTTCGCAGATCTCAGCCCCCCAGCGTCGGCGAAGAGAGGGCAGCAGGCGAGAGTAGGCGGGAGGCGGGAGGCGGGAGAAGAAGGAGAGACGCGACCACACCCCATCGATTCAAAACGAATACCCAAACAAGGAGGGTTGGGAAAAACAAAACAGAGCAAAAGCATGTCGATTCCTGAAGTAGGATTGAAGTAGACTGGGATCTGGGAATCCAAGAATACCTACTTTCAACGACTGGCGTGTACTGACAATATCAATCGGGATGCCGTCAGGGCACCCGCTGTGATCAGCGAGGCCACAATCGGGGCACCAAGGAGGCAGAGGCCCTGCGGGCCGCCCCGGCAAGGCCGCCGCAGGAGGAGAGGCTCGTGCTGGTCTGGCGAGCTCGGGGGAACACCGCACTCGGGCACGGCTCCGCACGAACGTCACGCACGACAAGAAGAGCGGAGCAATACTAATAAAAATACTAATAAAAAATCACGCAATAATGAAAACGAGATCCGCACGAACGTCACGCAACAATAATAATACATAGAAAAACAACCAGAAGGGCGCCGTGTACGTCAGGGGTGCATTGTCAAGGTGGTGAGACAAGCCGCTGCATAACACAGATCCTGCGGCTCTGCCCGTGGAACAGCAGCAAGCTCACGGGAACGAATGCGCTCATTCCAGGGTCCTTGCGGGCCTCGAGGCAAGTCTGAAAAAACAAACGCCCGCGGAGCCGGGGCAGGGACCAAAAGGCGAGGGGCACGGGGAAGGGGACGGGTCGATCAATACGAACTCACGCATGGCAACAAAAGACAAGCACGTGCTCGCATTCCTTTGTCGCCACGCACGGCAAGCGGCGCGAGACGGCCAGGAGGCTGAAGCACACGCATGGCTGGCTCCACGTGCCAGGGTGCTGCTAGAAGTGCCCCTGGCCCAAGATGCCCCCAGGATTCGCCCAGAGGGTCCCGGGGTCTCCGTTTTTCAACACAAGGCTGGGGGCACCCCGGGGGGCCTTCTCCTCCTCCTCCTCCTCCTCCTCCTCCTCCTCCTCCTCCTCCTCCTCCTCCTCCTCCCCTTCCTCCTCCCCTCCTCCTCCTCCTCCTCCTCCTCCTCCTCCTCCTCCTCCTCCTCCTCCTCTCCTCCTCCTCCTCCTCCATTCTCATTCTCCTTCTCCTCGCACGTGGCCAACTCCTTCTCCTCCTCCTCCTCCTCCTCCTCCTCCTCCTCCTCCTCCCCCTCCTCCTCTTCCTCCCTCCCCCCTCCCTCCCCAGGGGTGGCACCTCACCTCCAGCAGCCCACGGCGTGTGGAACCTGTGCGGAGACCACGCGCCCGCCACGCAGGCAGAGGGCCGAAACACCCGGCCACACGGGGGCCGAGCGCCCGAGAGGCACGCGGCAACGCGTGCGTGTGTGCGTGTATGTGCGTGTATGTGTGTGTGTGTGTGTGCGTGTGCGTGTGCGTGTGTGTGCGTGTATGTGCGCGTGTGTGTGTGTGTGCGTGTGTATGTCGATAAATGTGTCTGTGTGTGCGCGTGTGCTTGTGGCTGTTCTGTATAGTGGTGGTGGTGGTGGTATTGGTGTTTGTGTTTGCGTGTGCGTGCATATGATTGTGCGTGTGCTTGTGTGTTGCGCTTGTGCTTAGGTTTGCGTTTGTGGTTGTGCTTGTGCTTGTGATTGTGATTGTGACTGTGTTTGTGACAGTGATTGTGCTTATGTTTGTGCGTTTGTGTTAATGTGTTGTGTAAGTTTGTGTGTGCGTTGATGTTTGTGTGTGTGTTTGTGGTGGTGTTTGTGATTGTGCGTGTGAGTGCGGTTGTGTTGGTGCGCGTGATTGTGTTTGTGTCTGTTGTTGTTCGTCTGTGATTGTGGTTGCTGTTGCGTTTGCGTTTGTTCTCGTGTTGAACACAAACACAAACGCAATGTGTTTGTGTGTGCTTGTGAGTGGTTGTGTTTATAGTGATGTCGGTGTTTGTGTTTGTGGTTGTACGTGTGCTGGTGCTTGTGCTTGTGTTTGTACCTGCCTCTGTGTTTGTGTGTTGTGTGTTGTGTGTGTGGTTGTGGTGTTGGTTGCGTTGATGTTGACGCGTGCGCTTGTGATTGTGCTAATGGTTGTGCTTGTGTTTGTGTTTGCGCGTGCGCTGGTGTTTGTGCTTGTGCTTGAGTGTGTGCTTGTGTGTGGTGTCCAGCCCTCGCCCAGGCAGGCCACGTCACGTGCATCCGCCTTCGATGACGATGACGATCACGATGAACGTCGTCTTCATCGTCATCGTCATCGTCAACGGTACGACTTCTCAGTCGGGGCAGCGCCACATAGGCTTTCGCACCTCGAATCACCTCCAACGTACCTACACTGGGGCGAGCGCGTCTCCCCTGCGCCCGCCTGTATAAAAACCGTGGTGCCAGCAGCCGACTGCAATACGTCTCCAGTTGCCGACTGCAATGTATAGCCTCGTGCTCGTACAGGAGGTTTGGGGAAGTAGGCCAGCTTGGTGAGGTGACGCCCCTGTGGTGTTGAGACCAACCCAGACTACTCAAAGGGCCTGTTGAGGCCATTCGAGACTACCTGGGGGGACTGTCTGCGCGCAGCCCGAAGCCTTTCCAGGCTAGCTTCTTTCCTGGGTAATGCAAGCCAAGAGGCGGCGCAAGATCGAGGGGGGAAGGTTAATTCAACCAAGCTCTGCGAACATCACAGTAACTAAATCATTTGGCGCGCGGGGCCGACGGCGGCGGCTTCGCCTCCTGGCGTGCGAGGGCCCTGACAAGGCGGCGACCTTAGTCGAAGGTCTCCATCCGGACCGTCAGTGGGCGGCCCTGGAAGTCGTTCCCGTTCAGCTTCTCGATGGCCGACTTCGCCTCGTCCTCGGTCTCGTACAGTACCGTGGCGTAGCCCTTGGACCTCCCGTCGGGGCCCTCCGCGATGTCCACGCGGACCACGTTGCCGGCCTCCTTAAAAACGTCCTTCAAGGGGGTTGCCACAGGGCTGAACCCAAACGGTGTGTTTCGTTTTCGTTTTGTGTTCGTGTTCCCTCGTTTTGTCTTCAATCCGCCTTTAACGCAGAACGAAATCGAAACGAAAACGGCCCACGAGATCGCCAAAACATCGTGTAAGGTCCACCCCTGGGCTGCCACAGCTCCCTGGCCCAGGGCGTCCCCAGAGGTCCCGAGGAGGCCCGGGCGGCCGCTGGAGCACCCCCTCACGAGGTTCAGAGGGCCCCAGCAAGCAAGCAAGCAAGAAAGCCTTGCGTCCAGGTGGACGCGCTGGCAGGAAAAATAATGTGGCCACACGCCACACGAATCATGCGAACCACGGGGGCGTGACTAACCGCCAGGGGCTCCAAAATAGCTGACGAGCTGGAGACACCCTGGGTCAGGACCACTTTCCTCTGACTGACAGAACACCCCTCAGCTGAACGATCTCCAGAGAAAGCTGCCACGGGCTCTCCACGTGCGCGCAGCACCGCATTCCGGAAGGACCCCGGCGGGGTGGCGAATCGGCGTTCCAAGAGAGCCGAGTGTATCCGGCGAGCCTCACGCTAGTTCGCGAAAACGAGTGCGGACTGCACCTGCACACTCGAGTGCCAATGCCGAGTGAGCCAGTGCAGACGTCCTCTATCGACTTGTCTGGGCGGGCCTCCCCTCAGCTCGGCTGCACGCAAGAGCGACCCTACCCACAGGCAGGAGCGACCCTGAGCGCGCGGAGTCAAAACGGGCGCAGGGTGGCCGAATCCGAGCGCGCCGGCAGCCGCTGCTGCATCGCGATCATCGGGGATGGACAGAACCCCCTTTAGTAAAACGTGGTTTAGTGAAAACGACCAGAGGCCCAAACCTGGCGGGCGCAAGCCTGGAAAATAACGGCCACAGCGCCATCTCGAGAACCGAAAACGGACAATTCACTAATCGACGTGTCACTGTTGGGGGTTCTGTCCACCCCCGAGATCAGCGATCGGGGGGGCCCCGGTGAGCCCGCACCAAAGAGGTCCCTCCGGCGAAGGGTCACTCGCCCACGCGTGGTCCGTCAGCGCCCGAGCCTCTGGCAAACAAACGCCCGGGGTCCTGGACGTCCTGCCGGGACGCTCGGAACGGCAGGTTCCCCACGTACAGCAGCCGCCCCTCGTCGGCGGGGTCGGAGCGCTTGCCCCTGCCCTTGCCCTTGCCCTTGCCCTTCCAGAGGCCTCCAAGATGGGCTCGGAGTGGATGGGGTCGGCGGATCGCGCAGCGTCGCCGACACATCGGCGATGCATCTGCGACGCATCGGTGATGCACGGGCGATGCATCGTCGGCGTCGGCGATGCCTCGGCGACGTCGACGTGAAGCACATCGGGCCCCACGTCGAGCCGCATCGGCGATGCATCGGCGATGCGGCGCGGTCCTCCGACCCTTCCCTGCCCGGACCCCATCCAGGAGGCCTAGACCTTCTCCCTGTCCTTGCCCTTGCCCTTGTCCTGGGAAGGGGAGAACAAAAAAAAAAAACGGCATCGGCACAAGAAGCGGCGGAAGTCCGCGCAGGCTTCTTGGGGGTAGGCTCTCGGACCCCCCCGGGCGCGCGGAGCGGCGCGGCGGGCGCCGCAGGGGGGGCCCAGCTCAGACCCGAGAAACGCGCCAGGAGCGCCGAGAGGTGGCGCTCACGCCGTTGGCCCTCCCTCGATGGTCCTTGTCCTTGTCCTTGCCCTTCCCCTTGGAGCTGCCCCTGTCCTCGCGGACGAAGAGCGGGCGCGCGCCGAGCTCGGTGTCGTTGAGGGTGGCGATGGCCTTCTGGGCGGCCTCTGCGGTCGAGTACTCGACGATCCCGGCGCCCTTCGAGCGGCCGTCATCCTGCCCGGGGCGCGTCTTATCGACCCGACCTCCGGCCCGTCCGCCCACGCGACGGCCAGACCGATGGCCGACCCGGCGCCCGACCCGATCGCCGCCTCTCGCCGCCTCTCGCCGCCTCGACGACCGACCGGACGCCCGGGGCCCGCCGCCGACTGCCGCCGCTTCGACCGACGCGACGGGCGCACTCGCCGACCGCGCCGAGGCGCGACGGCGACGCCAGCCCGCGGCGGCACGCCAGATGGGGAACAGCCCAACGACGGCCACGACGGCCACGCCCGCGGCGGACACGGCGGGCCGGCCGACAGACGACGGCGCCGAGCCCCACGACGACGACGACGACGACGACGACGACGACGACGACGACGACGACGACAACGACGACGGGCGCCAAGCCTCGCGACAACGACCCCCGACGGCGCCCGCGCTCGCTAACGTCCCCCGGCGGCGGCCTGGGGCGCCCGAGCCGACGGCCTGCCGACTGGCTGACCTGGACGGCCGACCCTCGGGGCGGAGGACAGCGCGACGGGGCCGGGCGACCCGTGCCGACAGCTAACACCGACGCCCGCACGCACCCGCCCGCCAGGACCCGCGCGGCCCTGCAGCCGTGACCGAGCCCGCGCGAGAAAGAGCTCGGCCTCCACCAGCCGCGCGGCAGGCACGCCAACGGCGGGCGAGAATCATCGAGGGCCTATATACACATACATCTATATACACACATTCATACATACATTCATATCAGCAGGGGCTCATCATCGGCCCATTCCGGCCGAGCGCCCCTTGCCGAGACAAAAGAGGGATACAGCGCGTCGCGCCGCAGCGTGGTGGGAAAGAACCGCCGCAGCGACAGGCCATCCCAAAGTTCCCGGCCGTATGCCAGTAGGGGCCTCACGTCGGCCCAGTTGAACACATTCGGACCTAGGCCATAGGAACATCCATCAAGAACGTGAGACCCTCCGTCGGTCCGGACAAACAGAACATCCAAGGGTACCCTCCCCAGGATGCACAAGAACATCCAACAACCACGAAGAACACGAGGGTACCCTCTCCGATCCGACCTGGATCTTCTACCTCGGTCCGACTGTACGGTGGAGCGCCGATACATCGACAGAGGCTCGAGGCTGGCCGCCTGCTCGGGCGCAGACAGGCAGGGGCCCAAAGTGTCAGCCAGCCCGCGCCTCGAGCCTCGAGAACCTTCGAACCTCGACACTCAAACGCCACGGCTCTTCTCATGGCGTCGACCCCCAGACGCATCGACCCCTTCTCTGGGACCAGCTTCTCGTCCTCAGTCGACGGCCCCGAGGCCCAGGAAGGGCCGCCAGCCGAAAACATTGCAACACCGCCCGTCGTGATTTCTTCATGACGCGAGGCGGTCTGGGGAAGCGCCATGGGCGGCCGGCCCGTGTCTCGGGCCCTCGACGCCCTCCCTGAGGCGCACTTCCACTCCTGGCCATCGCTCGGACGTCCATTTCCTGTGTTTTTGTTCGGTTTCGTGCGTGGTTTTTTCGCCAAATGGTCGAGGATGCTCCTCGAAGGTCCTCGCCGAGAAAAAAATGCACACGTCCGAGCGATGCCAGGACTCTGGCCTTCGCCCGTCCGGCCACCCCCCCCCTGCCCCCCACGGCGCCCGGGGTACGGAGCGGGGCTGGACGCTTCCACGTGCAAATCGTACGGCAGGTTCGTGACGTGCCGACCCCAGCGTTGGTTTTTGACACCGCAGGGATCGTTCAACCTTGAACGATCGGCCGCTGCCGCAACGTCCGATCGTTCAACATCGATCGATTCTGGGTCGCCGGCGGCGTTCAACCTTGAACGTCGGCGGCGGGGTCGCCGCCGGTCGACACGACGCGAACCTACCGTAACTTGGGGAGGTTGGATGGGGTAG